AATGACAGGTCAAGGCAGGGTTTGACCATCATGGCAGCCCTGGAGAACAACATGATCAAATGTATGATTTGCAAAGATAATATAGCTACATGCAAGAGGATGAAATACATAAAAGACTAAAACCATTATGGCAGCCTGCACTGAGGCACTGGCAGTGATAATGGAGACATGGGGACTAGGGGGTGAGGAGTGAATGGAAAGTACCTAGCAGCCAGATGAACACAGGGGCAGAGGAAGGATGTGGGGATAACCCCATATTCTAGCACAAAATAAGAAAAACAGGAAGGCAAGCAAGTTGGAGAAGAAAGATAGTGACTTTAATGCTACAAATAGTACGTTTGGGGTATCTTCAGGAAGAAAATAAAGTGGGGAGTTTAAAGTACAATCTAGAGTGCAGCATAGACCAATTCAGGATGATGGGAGAATGGAAAGTAGAGGGAAAAAAGAAGAAAGTGGTAGTTTAATAAAAGAATCCTTGCATATCTTCATGGCCCAGCTGGTTCTATGAAACCGTTCTTAGAGTCAGTACTGGACCGACACCACTCCAAAATAGCTCCTCTATACTAGCAAAACCAGTTCACTCATTGTTCTGTAAATACACATGCCTGTACAGTCACCATTTCCTCGATTTAATAACTTTCTTACTCCTATTTATTAACCATTAAACATCTATTATACTTAAGGTACTATTCAAGATTTGGGGAGTACAGGCATGGAAACTCAAAACCCTGTCTTCAGTGAGTTTGTGTTGTAGTGTAAGAAACAGTCAATAAGCAAGATGTCAAATACAAAGTCTAACTTCGATTAAATTATAAATGTAATCAGGAAAATAATAAAGCAGGTAAGATACCTGAGGAGCGGACAAGGAAGCAGCATTATTTGGAAAATTGGTTGGCATAGGATCTAGAAGGTAATGATGAAAGCTATGTGAAAATCTGAAGAGTGTTTTAGGCAACAGAGTAGAGAGTAAGAAGAGCCTGAAATGGGAGCTAGCTTGGTACCACTGACAAACAGCCTGGCAAGAATGGAATAGTAACAGGGTAGCTTATGACCTATCTGTACTCCCATATCTGTACTGGGGCTTAAACTCAATGCCTGGATGCTGTCATTTAGTTTTTTCACTCAAAGCTACACACCCACTTCCAGCTTTGTGTTGGTTGATTGGACACGAGTCTCATGGATGTTCCTGTGTGGACTGGCCTGGAACCTCAGATCATGGCCTACGATTTATGTTGTTAAGTGACAGCATTGCAAAAAAAATTCCATGGATTTATAGCCTTTGTTCTTAATGCTATGTAAGCCTAGTATAAGATCTATGTTTAACATTCATACACAGTGCCTAAAACATATTATTTCTTCTCTATTCATCTCCCATTAAGTGTGGTTTAGGATGTCAAGGTCTGCCTTGTTTCATTCTCAAACATTTCTGGCAAATCTCAGATGCTTTTCACCATCTGGCAAACAATTGGGGAGCTGTTTTTAGTTCTGTGTGGTCAGTAAGAAGCCCAGGCTATGCCTAAAACAAAACAGAAAGGCCAAATATTGAGATTCATCTTCCTGTTTGCAGACCGGGTGTCTTTTCTTAGGTTCTAATATTGAAGGCAATCCTGTAGAGACTCCGAGAAGCTCTTTGCTTTGCCACAGTTCTACACTTAAACATTACAACAATATTATTATTATCCCACAGGGGTGTCGTGAGGATTAATGAGACATTTTCAAATCACTTTGAGTTACTCCACTGGGGGTACTAAATAAGTGGTATGTGTTTCTCCTGAAGTGCCATTTTTGACATTGATTTGTTTCAATAGGTTCTGCTGTCCAACAGGGCTGGAATGGCACCCACCAACTCATTTCCTATAGGCAACGGAGTAGCCATCACAAGGCAGTGGTTTTCTGTTAAAATAAATATGAATTGAAGTGAACTAGTCAGCAATCAGAAACAAATAGGCTGCTGTTAGAAATTCAGTATTTATTAAACTCTCACAGTGATCAACATAAGAGTTTCACAGTGTGATACAGTACAGCAAACATTGGATGTGGAAACGATCCAAGGTTTTTAGGCCCAGCTCTTTCATGAACAAGCTATGAGAGCTGAACAGACTGCTAAACTTCTCTGGGCTTCAAATATCAAGTCTGTCCTGGGAAGCTTTATAATAAGAGTCTTCCAGATAATGAAAATCCATGTAAGAAGCTGACAGATTGATTTCTGAAGGACAGAGATACTTCAGAGAAACTTGTGATCATCCATCATAGGACCATTCTCTGCTCTAGTCTTCCTTGCCATTGATTAATATTAATTTCAGTCCTAATTCTTGCAAAGGGAAGAATAAATCACTCTCCAAGTCAGACATAGAAGTGCATGAAACATTTGATCTTTAAAAATAGGATCTGTAGCTGGGCACTGGTGGCTTGCACCTATAATTCTAGCTACTCAAGAAGCTGAGATTTGAGGATTATGGTTCAAAGCCAGCCATGACAGGAAAGTCTGTGAGATTCTTATCTCCAAGGAATCACCTAAAAAACAGAAGTGGAGCTGTGGCTCAAAGTGGTAGTATAGCCTCAAGCATAAAAGCTCGGGGACAGTGCCCAGACCCTGAGTAGAAACCCCACAACTGTAGCTAGGCACAGGTGGCTCACACTTATAATTTTAGTGATGCAGGAAGCTGAGATCTAAGATACTGGTTTGAAGCTAGCCCAGACAGAAACTCTGGGAAACTCGTCTCCAATTAACCACCGAAAGTCCAGGAATGAAGCTATGGCTCAAGTGGTAGAGTGCTAGCCTTGCGTGAAAAAACACAGGGATAGTGCCTAGGCTCTGAGTTCAAACCCTAGGACTAGCACAAAGAGAAATGAGAGGGAGAGGAGGAGGGAGGGAGGGGAGAGAGAAAAAGAGAAAGAACAAAAGGAAGGAAGGAAGGAAGGAAGGAAGGAAGGAAGGAAGGAAGGGAGGGAGGAAGGGAGGGAGGGAGGGAGACAAAAAGAGGATCCATGACAGCCAGGTGCCCATGGCTCAAGTCTAATTCTAGCTACTCAGGAAGTTGAGTTCTGAGGATTGGCTCATGGCTAGAAGCTAGCCTAGAAAGGAAAGTACATGAGACTCTTATTGCAAATTAACCAGCAAAAAGCTGGCAGTAGATGTGTAGTTCAAGTGGCAGAGCATTAGCCTTGAGTGGAAAAGCTAAGGGCCTGAGCTCAAGCCCAAGACCCTGAGTCCAGGCCTCAGTACTAGAACAGGAGCAGCAAAAATGGGGTCTTTGCCTTTCTACGAGCTAGCTTTGCAGCAAGCACTTGGTTTCATTCTAAATACATGCATGATTGATTATACTAATCAACAGCTTTAAAAGTGTAGGGAAACAAATGAGGTGACAATCTCCCAAAATACTATTCTGGCATTTAATAAGAGGGTTTGACACAGTTGTCCATTTTTTTTCCATTTCACAACATACATTACCACCTGCAGTGCCCAGCACTACGCTGTCCCTGAAGTGGAAGATGAAGAAACAGGCACGTGAACCCAGGAGAGCTGAAGGTAGAAATAACTAATGTACTATCCTCAGTGCTCATGTTCCCCCACTCCTTATCTCAAGAATCCCAATAAGATCCTGCACTCAAAAAGAGAAAACACCACTCTAGAGCAGATAGAAATGCAAAGAATCACTGGGGAATTCAACTCAACAAATGAACCCCAAATTTCCATTATTTCCATATTTTCCTTTTTTGTGCCCATGCTGGGGCTTGAACTTGGGACCTGGTCACAATCCCTTAGCTAGGATACTCAAGGCTAGCACTCTATCACGTGTGCCCCAGCTCCACTGACCACTTTTTGGTGGTCAGTTGGAGATAAGCATCTCATAGATTTTCCTGGCCGGGCTGACTTCAAACCATGCTTCTCAGATCTCAACATCCTGAGTAGCTAGGATTACAGGTGTGAACCACCAGCACCCAGTTATTTCTAAAACACTTTAAAAGTTGCTAGGAATCGAAGTTGGGTAAGACCTGCTCTCTAACCTAGAGGGCTTTGTGGTTGGGAAGGAATGACCATGAATCACACACATCAGTCTGAATTGTCAGCTCACTTTGGATGGATGTCGTGTTGTCTCAATGACAGTTCCTCTTCTGTAAATGATTTGGATTATACAATAGAAAACAGACTTGTATAAGCCTAGAGTTGGCTTATGTTGTGGGTAGCTAAAACAAACTTTTTTGCAAACAGACATTATGCTTTCAATGACCACAACAAATTGGATAGTTTCTCCAAAGAAATAAATGTAAATTATCTCTTGGCTCAAATCAAGCAACAGAAACACAAATCAAACCTTCAAAGTTCTCTTACTTAAACAATTAGAATGGGGCAAATTTCCCACGACAGAGGAGAGGATGGCATTCTACTAAGTAGAGTCTGGGTAGCCGTCCTGCTCCTGTTCTTCCCATAATAGACCCAAGGCTTGGAGGTGGGAAGTGAACTTTACAACTTCAGGGGGGGGGGGGGAAGGAAGGGATAGTGGGAGAACAAAGGAGGTGTGACAATGCTGGGCAAGAAATGTACTCATTACCTTACTCAAGTAACTGTAACTCCTCTGTACAGCATCTTTACAATAAAAGATTTCTATTGCTTCTGAGACTCATAAAAAAAAACTTAAATAAACCAAAATCCATATATTAGATGTAGTAAATTTCCTTTTCCCTTTCCCACTATTTTCTCACGAACAGTACTGCAAATCCCAAACCAGAAATTTGATCCTTGATTCTACCCAGTGTGAACTACCACTCTGGACAGAAGCAAGGTGCCTGCCCACCTTTCAGTCTCCAGGGAAGAAGCTCATCAGCCCCCAGGAGTCCCTTAGTACTATTTCTTACACACACACACACACACACACACACACACACACACACACACACAGTACTAGGTGAGCTTGCCTCTTCCCCAGGACGCCCTCCCTGAACAAGGCCTGGCCAGGGCACGGTGCCTCTTGTCTTCCATCTTTCCTGGCCTTCTGGGCATGGGTCAGGAGGCCAGGGCAGGCCTGTGCTCCAGCCAGAGGTGTGGTTCCCTGCTCAGGTCTAAGCAGCCTGGCAACTGGGATGCTGCCAGGCGGACCACAAGAAGAGGGGGGCAGGGGGTGGGGTGGGCGCGCCCTGTCCGGAAGGGCCCCGAGCCTGTGGGTGGAGGTCCGGGCCCCGCGGCTGGATGGATGAGGGCTTGGCTGGGGGACCTCGCAAGGTGCAAGGATGAGGGTGACTTGGGTGTGTACAAAGCAGTGATGGGTGAGGACGGGCCGGTGGCTCCTGGTCCCCCGCACCCCCGCCCCGGGCCCGCGGGGCGC